GTCTGGTAAACTCTAATCTCCGGTTAAACATCGTTATCGACGTCTTCGACTGCATACAGCAGGGAGTCGGTAACGTCGGTAACTATGTTTAACCGGAGATTAGTGTTTACCAGGTATTGAGTAACCGGCCCTAAATCTTGTAAGTAGAACTGATTTTGAATTATTTTCTTAATAGATCCTTACAAGCTTTTTGTTTTGCAGCAATTGCTTCAAAGATAATTACACAGGTCTGCAAAACAATGGGTTCGGAATGTTCTATAAAAGTGTAGTGTCATTTCCGAAGTAATTTTTTGCGTAGAATCCGAATCCGGGGTTTAAATTGCTCTATCACGTCAGGACTTTGAGATATCCTAACCTAAAAGTGCAAAAAACGCTGTTTTTGCCCATTTTTTGAGGTTATGTAGCTACTAAGATTTTGCTCTTCATAAAAAAGTAGACGTGGTATTTTAAAGTATAAGTCTTCCTCTCTTAAATGCCGTTGAGTTTGCTCAAATATCTTAATTTTTCACTGAGATATCGCATTTTGAAGTCTCCATGTTTGTGAATGTAATCGACCGTATCACGTCTCATGTTATCTCAATGGATTTTCGAATATCGAAAAATTCACAAACATGGAAATTTCAAAATGCGATATCTCAGTGAAAAATAAAGATATTTAAGCAAACTCAACGGCATTTAAAAGAAGAAGACTTATACTTTAAAATACCACGTTTACTTTTTTATGAAGAGCAAAATCTGCGTAGCTACATAACCTCAAAAATGGGCAAAAACAGCGTTTTTGCACTTTTAGGTTAGGATATCTCAAAATCCTGACGTGATAGAGCAATTTAAACCCCGGATTCGGATTCTACGCAAAAAATTACTTCGAAAATGACCCTACACTTTCCTAGAACAAAACGTTGTTGACCTGTGTTATTCTTTGGACACAGTTGACTTAAATATGATGGATACCAAGCGTACGCGCATTTTTTTTGCATTCTTGGACTAAGGATCCTGTGTTCAAAGGCTGGTTGTGTAACGGCACGTCTCCACAGGCAAAAGTTTTTGCCTACCAACTGTAATTTTTATTTACAATAAATTTTAAATGTGCTCTGTCAAAATGACATTTTAATATTCCTTGCGTACATATCGCACACCGTCTTCAAAAGATTCACAACTCAAAATCTGGCATTTTTGAGATTATGCGCTAAAAATGCATACAAAACTTTTATTTATTTCCTTTTTGGTTGTTGTTGTTTCCGACAGGGTGGGTGTATGATGTATTATGGAACGAATTTCCGTCATCCCTTGTCAAATTTGGTTTGGAGACAAACCGGTTTCGGCGTTGTGCCATCTTCAGTGTCATTTTTCGTTTTGCATAATTTTTGTTGGTTGCTCGTATTTATACTCCTTGTTAACTACCTCTTTCTTTTGTTAGGTACGTCTTTTTAGTTTTGCAGTGTTTGCGGTACTCAATAGGTAGATGAATTGTTTTGGCTCGTTTTTGACGGCAGGTAGAAGTCCGTGATTTTTACCCCCTTTGTTTTTGCAGTCGGTGTATTCCCTTCCATATCTGTCCTTAATATTTTCTTGTTGTCATTCTTCTTCTTGTACAGTAGTTTTAGAGGTTCAAACAGTACGTCCGATGCAGTATTTATTTGCTCATTTATTATTCGTCCTTTGAAGGTCTTCTGTTTATATATTTCCATATTTTCTAATATATTCAATCTTTGTCCTTTATGTTGTACACGGAGAAGTTCTGTTGTTTGTCCAATCTTCATTGGTGTGCATTTATTTTTGATCATGTGATTCGCGAAGTTCGATTCTATTGCAGCCTCTGGTTTTCGTTTTTTCTTATTATAATCCCTTATGTGTTCTCGATACCTTGTTCTTATATTTCGCCCTGTTTGTCCTATGTAACTGTGTCGGCACTCACAGGTTAACTTGTAAACACCCTGTTTATCTAGGGGGTCTTCCTCGCTCATTTTCTCTTTCAATATATTTCCCACTGTGTTCCTTGTTTTAAATGATGTCTGAATGTCGTACCTATGAAAGAATTTGGCAAGTTTGTAAGATGTCTTTCCTGTGTAAGTTAGAGCTGCCCAAGTTTTTTTATTGTTTTCCTCTTTGCTAGTCTTTTTCGATTTTGTGTCCTTTCTTAACTTCTCCACCAGGCCTCTCCTATATCCGTTATTTTCCGCAATGGCATATATTGTATCCAGTTCCTTCTTGTAGCATTCTTCTGTTAGAGGGGTCCTTTCAAGCCTCGTTATTAGTTGTTTAAATGCTGCATTTTTGTGTTGCTGTGGGTGGTTTGAGCTATTGTGTATAATTGTGTCTGTGGCTGTTGGTTTTCTGTATATTTCGAACTCTATCTTGTTCGTGGTATCGTTTATTTTAATTGTTAAATCCAGATAGTTAATCTTTCTTTCCTCTTCCGTTTCCATGGTGAATTTTATATTCTGGTGTTTGTTGAGATAGTCTAGTATCTGTTTCTCTTTGTTTCCCTCTATTAGACATATTACATCATCGACATATCTCGCGTAGAATTTTACTCCTAGGTTGTTCGATAGGTTTTTCATGTATTTCTCCTCCAGTGTTTGCATGAATACTTCCATGAGTATTGCTGACGTCGGATTGCCCATTCCTAACCCGTTAATCTGTTTATATATCTTATTGTTGAACCGGAAGTAGTTTTGTTTTAATGTGACCTTCAACGCGTTTATTATTTCCGTGACAGCTTCTCTTTTCATTTTTCCCATCAGTATTTCTTGTACGGTCTTTATGGTTTCTATTGTTGGTATCGATGGGTAAAGGTCCTTGATGTCGAATGATACGAATTTAGTGTTTTCGTTGATCTTCAACGATTTCATCTTCTCGATTAGTTCCGTTGTAGGGATGACGGAAATTCGTTCCATAATACATCACTTTTATTTATCTTTCAGCAAAAGCTGGAGCAAATTTTTGTTATAATTTGTTAAAAAAAACCTAAGGTAAAGTCGCCCTTGCTCATATGATTATNAGGTAAAGTCGCCCTTGCTCATATGATTATCATGTGCTAAGAAATAGTTTTCGCATTTTCTTACAAACGTGTTATTTTGAGTTGTGACTCTTTTGAAGACGGTGTGCGATATGTACCTTTGTATACAATACATGTTTAATAGGAAGAATTTTTTGTGCATTCATTTGAATATGACGTTATCTCATGCCTAAGAGCTGGCAACACTGGATCCGATAACACCATCTTCAAGGCGAATTTATACAGTTTTATAAATTCGTCTTGACCAAGGCGAATTTATACAAGGTGGTGTTGATGGCGAATTTAGATTTTCGCCGAGGTACGTTTTAATGTCAAAATTATGTGTTTGTTGTAAAATGAATTCGCCTTGTTTACAACAAATACATCATTTTGACATTTAGTTGTACCGCGGCGAAAATTTAATTCGCCATCAACACCACCTTGTATAAATTCCCCTTGGTCTTGACCATCTTGTATAGATTCGCCTTGTACAAAACTTGTACTGGCGAATTTAGATTTTCGCCGCGGTCCTTCTGAATGTCAAAATGATGTGTTTGGTGTAGTATGAATTCGCCTTGTTTACAACAAACACATCATTTTGTCCGAAACGAATTTATACAAGGCGATTTTCAAGGCGAGATTCAGTAAGCAGTCTCTAGTCACTTATAATGACTTTTCGTGGTGAACATGGATTTTGAGACTATTCGGTATCAGTAAGCTGTCTCTAATCTCAAAATAAAGTCACACATTTGTCAGCTGGCTCTGAGGTGGTCACAAAGAGAAAGAAAGATTCTTTGACTTTTTTTTTTTATTAAAATCTAAAGATAATGTACAAAAATAAAACTAACAAAAAAAAATAACAAATAAAAATAAATAAAATAAGTCTGTGCGCCCGAGGAGGATTCGAACCCGGATCTCTCGAGCGGCAGTCTAATGATTTGATTACTCGGCCATTGCGACTCTTAGAGCAGGAGTTCTTAAACTTTTAAGATGATGGAACATTTACTAAAGACATTTCATTTTATGGAATCTCACAACAAATTATTAAAAATCAAAGGCATTGTAATTTAAATATGAAAATGAACTTTTACCGACCGCCGTGCTTATTCATACCAAAACTAATTTCGCGGAAGCCCGGTGACTTTTCTATGGAACCCTCTGTCTTAAAGCTTTCAGCTACACAATTCAGCTTCACTACACATTTTTAATGAACTTTTTGCAAAATAAAGAAAAATTAAAGAAACACAAAACTAGCTGTAAACAGCTAATCGATGTATTTGACTATTTAAAATATTTGGCGTGAATTTTCGTTTATCCATTTTGACAGCTGCAAGTTTCTGTTAGTAAAAAATTTACTAGCAGAAATTAGCAGGAGAGACAAAAAATTGAGAGCGTAAGAACGAGAGAGAGCAGTTAGTTTCTGCTAGTTTTTTTGGGTTAAGAAACGCTTTCCAGCAGTAATTAGTGATAATTTGTGATAATTAACTGTTAAGAAACAAAGCTTATATTTATTTTATAACTTGCAAGTAATGCATGGTTTCTTTATACTTTGTCAGCTTTCATTTTTATGCTCACTTTTTATTTCTGGCAAGCAATATTATGTGTATAACCTGTCAAAATTTTACCTAGCCCCATGAGCTAGGTAAAATTCTGAAGTTCGTATTCACCACGAGAAATGTCAAAATTTACCCTTTTCTGAATACCCAAATCAACTAATGTCACACAAGTAGTCACTTATTTCTAGTCACCAGTTTAATGATTTCAGATAAGACTGAATTATTGAATACCAGCGCTGCAGTTGGATGCACACTTATTCGTTCAAAGATTGTTCCATATCTGAAATGTTGTGCAACAGACCTTAATAAAACGGATTTCGAAATCCGGCAACTCATAAGAATTATTTCAGGTGTAGTATGACATTTTCCTTGCATATTTTGGAAAATTTTACGAGGTTGAAGACGAGCAAAACTTTGCCAACAATGTTTAAATAAATTGTGATAAAGCCTTTTAAGCTTTTATTTGCATACAAAAAGGTGTATTATAGTTGTATACAAAAATTTTATCAGCTGCTGCATGCATGCTGGACTTGGCTTATCAAGAGGTGCGACGATTTCCTCTAGTATTGCATGATAGGTACACAAAAAACTTTCCAGCTGGTGTCATTCGAGAAAATTAAAATAAAATATCTATTTGTATGGTATCGAAAAATAAACAAGTGTAATTCGATTACAATTTGTACTGTCGCATAAATCGTAATTATGTTATACTTATGAGAAATGAAGCAAGTTTAATTTTCGCTTTGAAGTTGCTGTTCGCTAAACCTATTTCGTGTTGTATAGGATTAACAAAATGCCAAAATAATAATTTTTCTGAATTACGTATATAGCATCTTTGCACCCTTTAATGGAACCACTGTAAAATTAAGTAAATATACTTAGGGTGATACTACATCGAGCTTACGTGCGGGTAAAAGCACAGCCTGGCTCAGTTGATTGCACTGTAACTAATCATCTGCACCCCGTCCCTAACGTGGCCAAAACTCGATAAGGTGAGTATACAACGGTTGTGATTTGATGACGCATTCAACGCTCATAAAAAAGCAAGGCGCATCAGCTTCAGTGTATTAGAGAGCTCCCGTTTTTTTAAGAGCAGAACTACTGTTTATCATTATCATGCTATGTTTCTAATTTTTAATATATGTTAATATATAAATGTTTATCATTATAGATAAAAAAAATATATATATAAAAACCAAAGAAAGCACTTGAAATGGCAGGTGTGCCTCCTATAGCACCGCTTCTGTGCAGCACTCCGCCACCAATTGATTTTGGTGAAGAGGACGACGATTCCGGTTTGCCGCCCACTTTAACACTTGAAGACGATGATGAATACGGTGATTTCGCGTTCGCCGCAGACATAAATGAGAATGCAACAAATACTGATAGTAAGTAAATATTTGATAAAAACATTTTGATCACTAATTTTTAACACATTTAATATTTTTTATTTATTTCTAAAGTCCCCTCATTGCCACGCACGCCGCTGCAGTTCGAACTAAGCTCGTCCACGACGAGTGGCTTTACCGATGTACCACCAAGTTTAGAAGAGTGTGGTAATGCACCGATAACTCCACCTCCGCTGCAAACTGAACATGACGTTTGTTCAGCCCGCGAGGAAGTTAAGCTAGAACTTATCGAGGCAATTAACTACAATGTTGTAAGCAGAGAAACCAATCAAGAGCGTATTAGTGACGGTATAACTAATGTGGATGAAACTAGCAATACAAATGATTCAGTAACAAGCCACCCGCAACCAGAGAAAGACAATAATTGGGTTATTCACAACTTGAGTGACACCAAAATCACAAATGAAACTTGCGCGGAATCGGAAAGTCTGCCCAAGTTTGCACACACTACAGATGCTATTACAACTAAAGAAAAAAGTGGAACTAAAAATGTATCGATATTGTCTAATGAGCAGGAAATTAAAGCACAACCAAATGCTATAACGATATTTCCCGAAATTCCTCCTCCCTTGACTCAACTTGTGCTGTTAGAAGATATAGCAGACGACAGTAGCGATGAGGAGTGCCATGGATCTCCAAAAAAATCCACCATATCAACAACGTCGCCCTTTACAAGCAGTGCTGACATAAATTCGGCGGATTTCTTTGCAATCCATGTTATTGGCGCGCCGTCTTCAACAAAAGAAGACAAACCACTGACAAAAGTGGAGGATATAAATATGAATAGCTTGTCAAACCACGATAATAACATCACCCATGAATTTGAAAATATTACTAAGACTACGCCCTATGGCGGCGAGGAACTTAATGATGATTTCGGTGATTTCGCAGATTTCGAATCGGCAACTGAGATTACAAACCCAACAACCTGCCCAATGAAGACAGCCGATTCGAATGTGATAACCAAGAGTGACTGCAATGATGTCGAACCCGTAGGCGAGGTAAGAGGAGTAATGTTGATTTTTGAAAGCTTCAAAAATACATTGAATATTTTTAACTGTTTGCAGCTCCCTGTAGAAAGTACTACCCAAAATAATGATGATGAGAACGATTTTGATGATTTCCAAGACTTTTGTTCGGCACCAACATCAGTTTCTGATACTAAACCAATTATATCATCGCAAAATTCAGAAGGTGTAGCAGCAACATGTAATGACGGGATTAAAAAGGGTATAGCACTAAATGAAAATAGTCTTGCAACGTTGAAAATTGATTCGGAATCTCAAGCAAAAGAAGTTGAGAATAGCGACGATGACGACTTCGGCGATTTCGAAGAAGCTTCACTTGCCATACCCACTTCAGAATTCACTGCAAATACTGCTATTATGAATACACATACGCCACCTGCGACTAGTGGAAATATAAGTGACCGTATAGGTTCGGTGTTAAAACTGATGTTTCCACCTGCAGAGGAATGTGTTGACAGCGACAAAGAAAGGACAGCGCCAGACGCTCTTTCCAGTTTGCAATTACCAAACGGCACACTTCCTTTTGAGTCGATAGAAGCTGCCAAAGCCTTGGAATTTCAGTGGCCGCAGTCGGAAATACGGCATGCGCTTGTACGGTCAATAGGCATTGATTCGAGAAACATTGTAAGAATGAATAATGCAGTCATATATTATTTATGCTTATTTAATAACTACAAACTATGCTAAATAAATAAATAAATAAATAAATAAATAAATAAATAAATAAAATTAATAACTACAAAATAATTTCTGAAATNGAGAAACATTGTAAGAATGAATAATACAGTCATATATTATTTATGCTTATTTAATAACTACAAACTATGCTAAATAAATAAATAAATAAATAAAATTAATAACTACAAAATAATTTCTGTAGCTCTTTGGCGAGAATTGGAATCCATCAATGCCCCGTTTTGCTGCCAATCTCAGTTTTAATCCGCTAAAGCCATTGAAACCACAAACAGTCAACCCGTCAACAACAACAGCAGGCATCGACTCGGAACATTACAGCAATGGCAGTGACGTTAGCAACTACTCTATGAAAACGGATGTACCTGATGTTGAGTTCGATTGGCAAAGCGCCGGTCTAGTGAATCCACTTGACGGTAAGTTTCATTATGTAAACTGACTACCTAACTGGTGTAATTTAAAATGAATACTTACACTTAAAATTTTAACGCTATACCAAGCAAAAATCTACAGAAACGCTTCCTCTGCAAGCTATTTAAACATATTTAGCTTTATACATCTTGTGTTCTTTTTTTATTATTTCGAAACTGAATTTTGTTTTCAGTCGCTTATTTTCTGCATCATTTATTGTCTATGCACATTTCTCCCCGAAATCTGTAATTAAGTTTTTTTTTTTACTTGCGAAGGCTTTTAATTGCTTTATATATCTATTTATATTTACAAACTGCATGGAAAACGCTTCATATTTAACTACGGCACTGTGCTATAAAGCAAAAAATAAAGTTCGCGTGTAAAATGTGTGTAAGTTTAAAATGTTTACAGAATTTCAATGGCTTTTCTGCTGATAAAAACAGTAATGCTTGTTTTAGTTTTTAATTAACATTTAAATATACATGTTCCTCATAACTAACTTTTTGTAAAGTGGTTTATAAATCTTGCGTTTTAAAATTTACACTTCGAAGTTAATTCACAAAGGCCCTAACCAACAAAGAGGTAGAGCTTTTTAAAAAGTGGCGTGTAGTTCCATTGTTTTTGGTACTAAAACTTAAACATTTTTATTGAAGGTTTATTTAAATATATTCTACCGAAATCTTTAAAAAACGCAGTTTCGAAAAAAGTGTTGGTTAGGGCCTTGGTGATTTAAGGTAACGATATCGATATCTGAGTGGAAGATCGATCTATCTCGGCAGCTAGTTCGAAAACGCCCTAGCTCAGAAAACCTTTCAAGAACACCCTTCCACAAAATTTGATTGAAGAACGCCCTGTTGCAGAATTTTATTTGAAAACACCCTATCTCAAAATTTTGTTGAAAAACGCCCTATCCCAGAATTCGGATGAAAATGCCCTATCTTAGCTGAAAATACATTGAAAATGTGCTGAGGTAGGGTGTTTTTGAATCAAATACCGAACTGTGGCCGTCTTCAATCAAATGCTGAAGTATGGCGTTCTTCAAAAATTTTCTGAGATAGGGCGTTTTAGAACTGGCTGCTGGCGGGCGATATAGGTCGAAAAAATTTGTACTTATAAACATTAAAATTAGTAAGCAGCCAAAAAAATGAGTAACAACCTAACCGGTCCAATCTATTTGGACTTTAAAAGTTTTGTGATTGCGAAGGTCAAAGAATACAGTTTTTTAAATTTTTAAAATGTCTCTTCTTGTCTTAGGTTATGCAAATTCCTTTTTGATTCTCGTTTTAAACACCTATTGTATTTTTAGAGAGTTTTTTTAACAATGTGGCTCACCAGTAGTTGTACATGGCATATGATTATATGTAAATAAGAAATCTGAAAATCATGATTTCATATATTTTTCAAAAGGTTTCAAAAATAGCAGTTAAAATTTACTTGATCAAGAATATCATTGCAAATGCTCTATATTATAATGAATATTATAATGAACACATATAAAGTTTGTTTATCGACATTGAACTGTTATTTACATTTTAACTGTTATTTTTATTGAACAAAAAGCTTTGTTTTCAATGTATAATTTTTTATTATACATACATACAAATATCTTAATGCAAATTTACTGTGCATGTGGCACTTCAAACGTAACTTAATTGTACAGACATGCCGCTATACGGATGTATACGTACATACATGTAAATGTATAGGGGTATTCTCTGAGTCTTGCAAAGCCCTTGCAAGGTGCACGGATTGCACGGTTTGCAAAGCTGTCCCATACGAAAACCGGTTTTTACCGTGCAATCTGTGCACCGTGCAAGGGCTTTGCAAGACTCAGAGAATACCCCTAATATGCTTGTATGCATATCTTGCGTTCTAGGTATTTAATGCCCTTGAATGGCCGACTATTTATGCTAGAAGCAACAGTTTTTGTATAATTTCTTCCAATTTTATGATCATCACTGTAATGACGCTTTAATTTTGATTGTAATTTTATTTTCTACCAAAAAAATATCAAGCAAATCTATACAAGTCTGCGAATTTCAGCGTATGCATGTTTGTTTATGTTTTTTAACCTAATCTTTTTACATTTAGCTTGGTTGAAGTTCAATTAAAATATTTATGCCTTCCCCATTATTTTGTTTTTTTTTTTGATAAACGCTTTTAATATTGTAAAAAGTATTTTTGATTACCACTAACTAAGTTTTAACAAGTACTTAATTTGATTATTTTACAACCTTCGGTTTCGGAATTAACAAACACAAAATAACTTGTCTATCTGTCTAACAACACATGTATATGTATGTAACACCAACCAACCACTTGATTCTCTAATCAAACAATCAAATCAATGATGATGAATTACAAAAATGACTAGCATCACATGTTCACACTTTACTATTGGATCTAGACAAAGTTATGGTGATGGCTACTAAGCTTGATAACTTAACTGTTGATTCCTCCTTCTCTGCATGTGCAACAACGTTGGAACAAATAACGTCGACAACTACTCCAACAACAACCACAACAACAACAATAACAACCACCGCTAATTATAAATTAACTAACGAAATGAACCGCTTTCAATTAATGCCTTTAAATACTCAAATAATACAAACAACAACAACAACAACACCCGCATTGGTTACATCTGGTCAATTATCATCATCAATATCATCATTACCACCAACATTATTAACTTATAATAACAAAAATGTCTTTGCCAATTCTACGTCCGCTTCCTATTGCACACCACACAATACCAACACGTTTCCAAATCCTTGCACTTATCAAAATTGTCAAACCAATGCACGGGCTAATTGTAATACAACACATGTAAATCGTGGACTATGCGCTTCTCACTCTACAAATACTTTTGCTTCACTTCATTCGCTTGTCGCTCAACGACGTACTGTTGGAAATGTCGTCACTATTGAACCATTAATGTACTTCAAAAATTTTACTAATCACATTTCGGCAACCCTCCATCAAAATCCAACGCTTAACATGATCAACAATAATACAATACATTCAAATTTAACCACTCATTTTGAAATGCCAACCTTTAAAACCGATCAACTATCAAATTGCATTTATGCACCGACGTTAAAATGCGACGATTTTTGCAATGATAATAACTTAACTAATAATCCACTGGAATTTGCCAACTTTCACTTAAAAACAAATCGAATGCCGGATTGTAGTTGTAAGTTAAAAGAATTGTTGTTGTGGCATATTTTAAGGTATTTGCATCGTGTAGGTTAAAGTAGGAATATGTACCGCACCTGTTTTTTAATTGAATCTTTGCTTCCGAAAATCAATGCAGTAGCACCAATGGTGAAATTTTATTTGTGCTAAGATGGTCTGCTCACTATTCAGGCAAAAATTATCTTTACTAATTGTTTTAAAACAGTTAATTAAATATAAATAATATATCTACAATGCATTTAAATTGTTTTGTCATCGCCACTAAATCCTAAAAATCAGGCATGACAGAATGCATCTCCTCAGACTCACAGATGCCATGAAGACACACGTAACCCAACTACTAGACTCGACAGTGTCCATGACATTCTCACGCAAGCCCGATCTACGTACGGGAACGACTCGGGTTTTGGCGGACCAAGTGCTGCTGTTTCGTCGACCCACCCCCGTCTATGGGTCGGCATGGAATATTGATAGCTGCGGTCCAAGAGACGCAGTTGCCCATCAATTCAACACCTGAAATAGGTGCGCTCCTCAAAGGTAAAAACCGTATGGTAGTCGGTAACTTCAACGCGCACCACAATCTTTGGCATTCAAGCCTGTCGAATGATCGTGGGGGAATACACTTGGCTGAGCAGATAGACGATTAGACGTTCTGCACAATGAACGACGACCTTTTCTACCCTTCCCACACCAACCGACTTTCACGTAGGTGCGCGTAAGTTCCGAAGGTTTGTCACTGCAGCTTGCTTCGGACCCCCGTCCGAATTTTCTGGCGGAAGTGGCTGTTCTGATCGATGAGCGTGACAACCTTCGCCCCGAAGAAGTGGGAAGAGCATTTGAAGAGTGGTAACTTCACCCCTGGTGTGAGCAAGCTCTGGTCAACCGTGCGGTCACTATCCAACCCGACGAAGCGTGACGACATAGTCGAAATTTACTTCGGCGACCGCGCCCTCCTTTCCCCGGTAACGAAGACACTTGAGGCCTTGCTACTCCCACACTACACAAACCATTCGATCCCAGTGAGGCAGCAGCATGGGCTTCGTAAAATGCACAGCACAACAACAGCGTTTAACGCCATAAACACCCAGATAACTCGTAGCCTTTACCAAAACCGCCCCTGTGAGAGAACTGTCCTAGTACTGTTAGATCTGTCAAAGTCATTTGAAACCTTCAGCCATTTCAAGCTACTAAAAGACATTAAGGCTTCCTCTCTCCCACAGTGGCTCAAGCGGTGGTCGGCGAATTATCTGAGTGGTCGACATTTGTTGGTCATTTTCGGATACAAAACCAGAAAACCGAGAAAAATTAAACAGGGGGTCCCACAGGGTAGTGTCCTTTCCCCGCTTCTTTTTACATTTCAAAGCTCCCTCAACTATCAGAGGGAGTCTTGATCGTCTCTTATGCTCGATAATGGCGTCTGGGTATGGGATTGATGACTTGTGCTCGAAAGTAAACCTCACCAAACTTTCTTGCTTCTTCACTGCAAGGAGCCTAGCCCTCCCCCTAACAAAATCTCCGGCAACCCTTCTTACCACCTGGACAAAGGAGGTCAGACTGCAGCGGGGTATTCACGTCGATGGCAAACCAATTCCGACGGTGAGTTACCCGAAAGTCCTCGGAGTTACCTTCGACCGTCTGCTCTCCTTCTCGGCACATATAATTGTCAATCGAGTCGCCAGCTGGCAGCACCTGGGGCAAAGACACAGGGCAACGTACAAGGCTATTGGGCGGCCGGTTATAAACTATGCAGCATGTGTGGTCGCTGGAGACAAGTAGGACGCAGTGGATGAAGCTACAGATTTTCAAAAATACGACCTGTTTTAGCAATACTGCCAATAAACTAACAACAACCTAATAAAAAAAAAAACGGTTTGAATGGTTACACTGTGTTTTTTTCAAAGTTGTAATCTAAAAATCGTCTATCATAGCTTCATGAACTTTTCTTGGTATTCACTAAACATCCCTCCTTGTAGAAGCAGATGTAACTGCATTTTCTTTTTATTGACAGGTTTTTCCGGTTATATATTGGTCCAGTTAGTATAGCACTTAGTTATTAAAATGCCATTTGATTTTTATACTAAGATGACTTCCTAGGAATAACCAATTTAAAGTACCATAAACAAATAATTTCGAATAAGAAAAATATAGCTTTGTAGTACTTACTAAAACGTAGCTTATTTTCAGGAAAGATCAAACATCATTTTAATACACGATTCTTCTGCAAACAAAGTTCATTAACACGCTTTAGCCACTAAAGATCCCAAAACGCATGATCTTGTTAAAAGAAAAAAAAAAAAACATTTATTTTGCAACTCCTCAAGTAAAATGTGCGTCGTATGCCCTACTTTACCCTACACACTTTTAAATCTGCAAAAAAAAAATATATATAATAATCTATGCTACCATTAACTTTTTGCTAAGCACACATTTATAGATTTCGGTTTTTACAACATTACATTCTTCTATTAACACTTTGGTGGTAGATCGAATCTTACAAACATAATGTTAATATAACAAGTAATTTTTAAGCAAAAAGCAAACCGACTTCAATTCACATATACAAATTTAAGAGTACCGTTAGTTTGTACATGATCTACATAAAAATAAAAAATATAAAAATGTTCTGACGAATTGATAACCTTCTTCCTGTTTGAAGTGGGTCAGTTTTTATGTATTGGAGTTTTCCTTTTATTCGAAAGTTCCGTCTAAAATATAAAGATTAGCGAATATGTACTTGTACGTACATGCATCGTCATCATTGAAAAAGCTCATGGCGACTTCTTTCTATAGCATATTTTGATACCGGAATTGTCAACATATTTGACCATTAATGTAAAGAATGATCCATAAACAAAAAGTTAATTAGGGCAACTTTAGTGTAAAAATCATTCGATCTAGTACATTTTGTCCCATTGGACGTGTATCCAATTAATTTTGTCATCATATCGTGGTCATCAATGCAAATTACTGTATTTGATAAATTTCAAATTTTACTGGATAAGTATAAACCCTTTTTATCCCTGCTTGCTTATAGGGTCACATTTGATATATATTATTTTTACATTTATACTAAATGGGTTTAATTAACACTATACAAATTTCTCAAGCTATTTGTTCAACATTTTGAATCACAAGTGATTTCACTTTTTACTTTTTTATAATAGCACGTTAATGCTATTATAGGCTTATTTTTACAAAGCGTGTACGGTCTTTGCTAAGTTTTTTTCTTCTTCTTTGCGAACCACTGTTCTTTATCCACAGTGCTAAACTGCCCATAAACGAGATGAAATGAAATAAACCGGGTTCCCGTACAAACTCATTATTTGATCACATTTATTGGCAGTTTATCACCTTAGATGAAGACCCCTTACTTATGGTCTCACCACTAAAGATGACCGAAAGTTATATATTAGTATATATTTACTCACTGCACACAAACTTTTTCGAGGCTTTAAGCCTGGATAATCTAAGACAGCCTATAAATACTCGATTCTTATAAGGCTGGTTTTCTTCTTGATTGCTCTCAACGAAATCAGTACCTTGGCGAGCAATATCGTTCCGGCAGTGGTCATGTACATAGATCCAGTTGGTTAGCCTTTCTTCGGCCTCTACAAAAAATTTAAAAAAATATATATATACTATGCCACACCTACCGTCCTTGTAACTTACCAGAGGCTTTACGTAACTGCAGTTAAGCCTTTGGTTTTTAGTTCGTCATATATGTATATACAGATTACACCGAGCGACAGTCAAATTTGCACATGAAAAAATCAATATATTCACAAAACGGGGGGCCAAATATAGTAAAACTGCGTTTCTAGTTTTTTCTCTCTGACGTCAGGATTTTTTTATAAAGGACCTTGAAATTTCTAGAATATGATTGCATAAAAAAATTATTCAAAAGATTCGGTGCATTGTAGTATAAGAATATGGGTATCAATTAAAACGAAAAATTCTGTAGAATAGGAAAAAAAATTTATTTTTGGGTGCACCAAGACGAATAAGTATTGAAAATGTCCTTTTAAAACTTTATCCTTGAACATCCTTGGAAATTTCCAATATTTATTTTTGAAAAAAATACATATGTCAAGGACTAATATGTATATTGTAACTATCAATATCTTATAAAGAGAAGTGTACATTTTTTTATCTAAAACTAATAACGAAACTAAAACTAGAACGAAATTCGAGGATGTGGTAGTTAACATATTAGTCCTTGACATATATTTTTTTCAAAAATAAATATTGGAAATTTCCAAGAATATTCAAGTATAAAGTTTTAAAAGAACATTTTCTAAACTTATTCGTACTGGTGCACAAAAAATTAAATTTTTTTCAATTCTACAGAATTGTTCCTTTTAATTGATACCCATTTTGTTACTCTACAATGCACCAAATCTTTTAATTTTTTAATTTTTTTTATTTAATCATATCCTAAAAATTGCAAAGTCAAAGTCAAAGAAAAAAAAATCCTGACGTTAGAGAGAAAAATTAAAAAGGCAGTTATACTATATTTGTCTCCTTGCTCTGTGAATATATTGATTTTTTCCTGTGTTTAAAAATTTTTTTTTTTTGTCGCACGGTGTTATATATTCATATTAGGTCACTTTCTCTCTATCGTCAATATTTAATGGCAATTATTTAAATTACCATTACCAAAAATATTTGAACCATCAAATTGGATGCCACTACCACCAAATGCGTTAAAAAATAAAAAGCTTTTTATATTTACTTATACAAGAAATATTTCGTTAATACTTTTGTTTTCAAATGGCTTTTCCAGCCACCATTTTTTTGTTTCCGATATTTAAATTCTGGCCTTATTTATTTATTATTATACAGACATACATATTTTAATCTTCGTTATTTTGCACCTTTAGTCTTATGCACTGTGAACTGCTAAACCTATTTTCCTGCATAAATATATACAATCCCACTTATCATTATTGCCTTATTTCAGGGGTCAAGGGGGAGACAAACACACGAGAGACTGAAACGGTTC